AGCTATGGGGATCCATACACCTCCAATTCATAGTTTGGAAAAATACGTTTATGTGTGATGTTAACTTTGACATGTTTCATTAGTCAAGATATACAATTCATATACAAGGTAAACAGATTTTAAAAACATGTGTCTTTATCCAAAAAAATATGGCAATTATTTTTTGTACTTTTTATTTAATATAGCTTCGCCTTAACTATAAAAACATCTTTGAATGGCCTAAGTGTTTTTCTAAATAGTGTATAAGTAGAGAATTTTAAGCAATCCTTTGAGTGTCATGCCATTTATACATGATGCTGCCTTGTATTTTAGGATATATATTGAAAGAGGATTTCACTGAATTATTTGTGTTTCAAATATGGGAACTGCAAACTGGCAAATAACTATAAATTAAGGTTCCATACAGACATTTAATTTCAAATTCCAAAGCAAATGCCAATGGGCATTTATTAAAAGTGACCCTATTAACTATTTAGAATATGGCAAACATGTTTAGAAAACTGGTGAGATGCAATTGAAATAAGAAAATCCATTCTCATGGAAGTACCCTTGTGTGCATTTAATTGCAGTCATTTTATCCTAATTGCCCATGGGCATTAAAACAATAATCACATTCCAACTCTTAAAACATGCTTAAGATACTGTTGGAGTCTCAAAAGGCAACAAGAACATTCATTTTTGAAACAGGAAAATTTAGTCCCCCTAAAAATGCCCAAATGGGGATTTATTCTCAAGATTTTCTTGTAATTGCCCGTGAGAATTTATTAAGAATATTTTTATTTCCATTCACATGTCTTATTATCAGTCAAATCAAAATTAAGCCAATTGCTTTCATATCTTGTATTAGAAAATGGCAAAATTTTGACAAAAAGAGCATCTCTTAAAGTTGACCTTTAAACCACCCTAATGTCAAGGTCAAATGTCAAAATTCTCAGAAATCACATTTTAAGTAATAAGTCATACTTCCTCTTCAATTCCATGTCAATATATACTTGTTTTGTAGGGGGGCTAAAAAGGGGTTTACCGCCACCTGTCCTTTAATTTTCTTTGAAAATGTGACTTCTAGGTCGGGGAGATTCCCCATAGAGCCCATGTTGTAAAACCACAAAAAGTAAAATATCTTTTCTTGTGTTGGGTAGATAATATTTTCTTTTACTGGACATATTTTTATTTGTATAACTACCAGATACATAAAGGTAATATGAAAAGTGAACCACTAAAACTAATGCATATTCAAGTTTAAGGGAATTTTGTAATACCCTGCCATGTTAATTCCCCCGAATCAGCCACCTGGTGGTGAAACTGGTAACTACCTACTCGCATCTGAGTAATTGGACAAACAGAGTATCTTATGCATTTCTAGGGGTTAGGTATAGTAGAATGATGTCATATTTCGCATATAAAGTTATTCTGCAGTTTTAGACAAACATTTCCATATATACAGCATTTAAGGTTCAGCTGGAAAGTAACATTTTGGTAAAAAATTGCTATACCTGCACATGTTATTTTCTGGTACATAATTAAGTATGAAGGCATATGTGTATTTCCTTGCTTTTTTCAGGAAAGTATCATTACACTGTCTACTTTTAGTAAACCTGGAAACAGGTCAATGGTAGCTCCTGTGTTGTCTGGAAACTTTGAAAGAAAATTTGGAAAAACAGGAAGTGTGAAATATCAGAATTCCCTGGAGTTCCCTTTGAACGCCTACCAGATATTCTAAAAGAAGACAATTAGACAATGTAATGATACTTTCCTGAAAAAAGCAAGGAAATTGATACATGCCTTCATACTTTATTTTGTACCAGAAAATAACATGTGCAGGTATAGCAATTTTTTACCAAAATGTTACTTTCCAGCTGTACCTTAAAATATTCTAATGACGCCCCTTGTAAAACGCATCATTCCTTCTATTACTCATTATATTCTGGTTTTGAATGTCAAATACAGCTCCATGTACCACTGGACTAGGATATCAAGCGCATTAGAAATAATGATTGGTACATGTACGTTGTTATTGTACTCGTCTGAAAATAAAGATTAGATCAATTACATGTAGTGGTTAAAAAATATACTATCACATGATTGTACAAAACGAGTCTAGTATATTATTGACTATCTCAGGATTGGTTTTTATGTAAAACCAGCCAATCGTTCTGTATGATCAGCTTACTTTCTCGCTCCGTGTACTATTGAACAATTTACATTCCTTGTACTCTGTACTGATCAACTTTTGCAACTGTGTACCGTGTACTATGACATATCAAATATTTTAAAATTTAAAACTATATTACTTACATTCTTTCTTCAACCATCATTTAACTTGGAACATGGACTTCACTATTGCACCACTGAAGTTCAGCGAATAGCAATACTGACTCACTCCGAGCACCAATCGTATTAACCCTTTGACTAAGCAGTCGATATACTCAAAAGCGACCTGGTTGAAAGCCAAAATATTCGCGCATGCGCGATCAAGGAAGGGTAGTGTGAGTATACAAGAGTCCATGTTTGAAACAGGTGCAAAAGGTCAAAACTTAAATGAGAATATGTTTTATGTGAGCAAAGAATTTTGAATAGGACATTTTAATCTATTTATGACTCCTATATATTGAATGTGAGTAGCTTTTGAATTACCACATAAATCACAAGCTAATGCCTTGGTCACATTTTCTCCGATTTCCACTACGGCACCCGGCCGATTGAGTATTTTGTTCAAAATTGAATAGAATATTGAACAAAACACTCAAGCATATGTGACCAAGGCATTAGACAACCTTTCAGCACATTTTCTGGACAACATACGAGGGGTGATACAAAAGTATTGGATGCCCCTATCTAACTTTGCTATTTTTTAATGAAATTACATGAAACTTTCAGATAATAAAGATCAACAACAACTTTGTATATAAGTTTCACCAGAAAATAATATATTTTAACTACTTTTCTAAATATTTTTTAATATTGAGCTCGACACCGGAACGATTTTAAAAATTGCAAATCACGTCACAACTGTTAATACGACAAATACTATTTCTTAAGTTGCAGGTGCACAACCTAACACCAGTCATTATAAGAGAGAATTTTCCGATTCTACAATTTGAGTGGCATCTGCAAGAATCATCTTCATATATTTAGGCCTACCTTTCAACATATTTTCCACGAATTTGAACAATTTTTCGTGCCGGTTTACCTATGAATGGACGACATTCATGAAACCGCCATTGCTTAGATGATGCTGACATGATGCTGACATATATTGAGCAATATGTAGAGAATGCTTAAATCTAGTAATGATGTAATTCATTGCAAGAAATGATCAAGTATAAGGCAAACTTTGAGAAACTTGTCAATCAGAAAACTTGCCATTGACTTTATACATGAGAAAGTTTCCTGAAAATGATCAAGTCCTACTTTTTGTCAAATTTTACAGAGTAAACACCAAAAACTGTAATTCCAAAAGCCTTGAAATCTTCAGAGGACATAAGGTGCATATACAGCAACTACTACAAACTATTTAAAAGTTCTACTTCAACAAAGTGTCTAGTATTTACTAGTAATAAACATTTCCTTTCAACCCTCCATGGGGGAAAAATGAGTAAAAAACATTTCCTTTCAACCCTCCTTGGGGGAAAAATGAGTAAAAAACATTTCCTTTCAACCCTCCTTGGGGGAAAAATGAGTAATAAACATTTCCTTTCAACCCTCCATGGTTTAGCATTCAAAATTCAAAGAAAGATTGTGGTCAAGAGTAGCAAAGCAAGTCATATAGCGGCAACATTCAAAGCTGAAAGTGTCACTTCTGAATACGGTTCAGTGAATAATTTAACCGCTCGCCACCCCAAATTTGCGAGGGTTAGACCCTATAATTCGAGTGTAAAAAGATGTGCACTTCCACTTTTGTCTGGTGTTAAATTTGAGGAAAGTGTCGAGTCATTTTAATATACTTTAGTCGACAAAACAAATCTCTCTCGCATTCAACTTCAGCGGTGCTGTAGTACCTGATGATTACTATCAGTCTCCGAGCCTTTCGTCCAGTGCCATCCGTACCTCCTGTGCCTTAGTAGTGAAGGTACGCAACGAACGAAATGAATTTTGAGAATGGATTACTATGCTCAGAACAAGTTGTGGTTCCATATGTCAAACATCCTCCCTCTGATTTTCCTATTTTACACATTATTATTGATCATTTTGTTTAAAGGTCTAAGCATCAAATGAGCCGTTCTCTCATTGGCTTTTAATTAAGCAGGTAATTGTGTCATTTTAAAAGACCGCTACTCTATTGGTTAAAGTAAACGATTACAAATTCTTTGAGAAACTTTCATTCATAAATTAATTAAGTAGGCTTTCCGCGAAGAAACTTGTGACTATATATGGTTTCCATAATTAACATATTGATATAAACAAAAATGGCTGCCGATCAAGACGAAAGAGAATATGGATTTTCTGGTTTGTTTTCCTCGTTGTAAAGAGGAACCTCAGATAAGTTGTAGTTCCCATGTTCAAAATGTAGTTGTTAATGAAAATCAGGTTGAAAAGTCTGTTGGCTTAACTGTTGATGGCAGTGGACCTGCTATTGTAGAAGTTCCTAATGATGTTAATGAACATGATCTCCACAATGAATTAAGTACACTTGTGGTACAAGTGAGGACAGCATGTCAGAGTCGGAGGATGAATGATTTGTTCAATGATGACTGCCTCTGATAGTGAGGGGGAAGATATTGTCTATTTTAAATTTGATAATATGTTAAAAGATATGGATGCTAAAGCTGTGAACAACAACTGAATAGAAATAAAAATACCGATTGCATAAAATAAATCATTTCTTCATGAAATTTATACACAAAGTAGTTAGAATGATATTATTTATTTTTGGAGGGTTTTGTGTAATTTATCAAAAACCAACAAAATTAAAGCAGCGTGTCCAAGACTTTTGGATCACCCCTCGTATAAAATTCATACTCTAATGAATTTGACCTCATAATTCATGTATACTTTGAATGGGCCTTTTGAACATATAAACAGGATTACTTATAGCTGTTATTTTGGGTATTGACAGAATCACTTAGACTTGAATCACTTGTTTGAATGTCAATTCAAAACTGAATGCAAAAAACAAAATAATATTTTTTAGAAAGCTCTAAATCAACAATACCATCACAGTATTCAAGTTACCTTATTTACGAGGATACATATTTTGAAATGGAAAATAATCGAATAGAAATACAAAGATACATTTCACTCTGTGTGGGTGTACTTGGACTTGTATTTTGCGGAATTATAAATGGATTTAATATATACGCAGTCGCTCTTAAACAGACTTTTAACTATACACAAACGGAATTGGAGTATATTGCAGCCAGTGGGATTGTCGGATCGGAACTAACTTCTTACTTTGCCGGAATTGCCATAGACAGATTTGGACCTCGTTCAACATGCGTTGCCGCTGCTGTTCTCACATGCTCGTGTTTTTCATTGATGTGGATGACGACTAAGTTTATTTCGTTCTTCGCTTCGCGAACCTGGATTATATGTTTAATGTACTTTATGGCCTCTAGTGGGTGTTGTTTTACAAATATGGTATGCATGGGAACAATTTCTTTAAACTTCGAGGGAAAACATCGGGGTAAAATTGTTGGATTTGCAAGCGCAGTTTATGGTTCGAGTCCGCTTATATATGCAGCTATATATCAAGGCTTTTTTGTGAGTGGACATATAACTGACGAGCAGAATCAAAATATTGCAGATTTTTTTATACTGTTGTCAATATGTGCGGCAATAGCGAATGTTCTTGGCGCAGGATTCCTTAAAATAATGCCACTGGAACCTGCTTCTGCTGGTCATCTTGAGATGCAAGATTTGATCGAAACCAACCATGATGAAGATACGAGTTTGACACCAATCGAGACGAATAATGACAAAGATAAGTTGGAAAAGGGAGATGAAGACCTAACCAACGCTAAAAATAGCACATCAAATGAGAAAACTCCAATACTTCAAAATGATCTGGATTCCAATAAAAACACACCAACAGACAAAATTGATATTAAGCCAGATACAGATATAACCTGTTTTCAGATGGTCAAAACTTTGGAGTTTCACTTCTTACTCTGGACTGTGATCATCATCAAAGGCATAGGGCTGACTTTTACTGCAAATATTACAACTATTGCAAAATCGGCACATCTCGAGAAAGCATCATCAACATTAATTATAATCATCCCAATTTCCAATACACTAGCAAGGTTTTTTGGTGGACTGATGCCAGATATTTTCAAACAGAAATTATCATTCATTCCAACATCGTCACTATTACTGCTTGCATCATTCATATCAATGACCGTGCAAGTATTACTCGTATTTTTCAATCAAAGTTATATAGGATTGGCATGTCTTTCTATTATGTCAAGCATACCAACTGGACTTGTTTCTGTTCTTATGGTTATAATCATTTTAGAACTTTTTGGAAGGAGCGATTTTTCACAGAAGTATGGATTGGTATTAACTGTAGCTGGAATCGCTGCTTTTCCAATTGGAAAAATCTTCGGCCTCATTTATGAAAATAATAGTATCGCAGGGTCGAGACTTTGTTATGGTGTGGATTGTTCAAGGTGGTCATACATCATAAATGCTATTTTCGCTTTACTGGCAACTTTACTTAGCGCTGCCTTGGTGAGAGCAGAACATAAAATCCAGAGCTAGTTGAAAAGATTACTTTTAATTCTGATTTTTGAAGAATATATTTGCAGAAAAAGCTCAAGTTTAGCAGCATTAAATAGAAGGCTGCCTCAAAGGATTACAACCTACTTTGAAAATAAGAAATGTCAATTTGAACGTACCAAAAAGTTAAATTTCAAATGCATTTCTTCACAAAATAACAGCTGATTTCTGAATAAAAAATAAAAAAGATGCAAGGCATTAACATGACAAAATGTCACCACCTAAAACAATTTGGTCAATTTAAAGCAAGTTGGAAAATACCTTTTGACCTTGAGAAGGTCATTGAAGGTCAAAGGTCAAATCTAAAGTCAGATTTGAACTTCTGAGAACTTGTAAAGTCAAATTTGAACTTCTGAAAAGATGTAGATGATTTAGAAAAAAAAAATTGGTCAATTTGAAGCAAGTTGAAAACAGACCTTTTTGACCTTTTTTGACCTTGAGAAGGTCATTAAAGGTCAAATGTCAAATCTAAAGTCATATTTGAATTTCTGAGAACATGTAGATGATTTTGAAAAAAAAATTTAGTCAATTTGAAGCAAGATGAAAAAATACCTTTTTGACATTGAGAAGGTCATTGAAGGTCAAATGTCAAATCTAAAGTCAGATTTGAATTTCTGAGAACATGTAGATGATTTTGAAAAAAAAAATTAGTCAATTTGAAGCAAGTTGAAAAAAGACCTTTTTGACCTTTTTTGACTTTGAGAAGGTCATTGAAGGTTGAAGGTCAAATGTCAAATCTAAAGTCAGATTTGAATTTCTGAGAACATGCAGATGATTTTGAAAAAAAAATTTAGTCAATTTGAAGCAAGTTGAAAAAAGACCTTTTTGACCTTTTTTGACTTTGAGAAGGTCATTGAAGGTCAAATGTCAAATCTTAAGTCAAATCTAAAGTCAGATTTGAATTTCTGAGAACACGTAGATGATTTTGAAAATTTTTTTTAGTCAATTTGAAGCAAGTTGAAAACAGACCTTTTTTACCTTTTTTGACCTTGAGAAGGTCAAATGTCAAATCTTAAGTCAGATTTGAATTTCTGAGAACACGTAGATGATTTTGAAAAAAAAATTTAGTCAATTTGAAGCAAGTTGAAAACAGACCTTTTTTACCTTTTTTGACCTTGAGAAGGTCAAATGTCAAATCTTAAGTCAGATTTGAATTTCTGAGAACACGTAGATGATTTTGAAAAAAAAATTTAGTCAATTTGAAGCAAGTTGAAAACAGACCTTTTTGACCTTTTTTGACCTTGAGAAGGTCATTGAAGGTCAAATGTCAAATCTAAAGTCAGATTTGAAGGTCAAATGTCAAATCTAAAGTCAAATCTAAAGCCAGATTTGAATTTCTGAGAACATGTAGATGATTTTGAAAAATAATTTAGTCAATTTGAAGCAAGTTGAAAAAAGACCTTTTTGACCTTTTTTGACTTTGAGAAGGTCATTGAAGGTTGAAGGTCAAATGTCAAATCTTAAGTCAGATTTGAATTTCTGAGAACATGCAGATGATTTTGAAAAAAAAATTTAGTCAATTTGAAGCAAGTTGAAAAAAGACCTTTTTGACCTTTTTTGACTTTGAGAAGGTCATTGAAGGTCAAATGTCAAATCTTAAGTCAAATTTAAAGTCAGATTTGAATTTCTGAGAACACGTAGATGATTTTGAAATTTTTTTTTAGTCAATTTGAAGCAAGTTGAAAACAGACCTTTTTGACCTTTTTTGACCTTGAGAAGGTCAAATGTCAAATCTTAAGTCAGATTTGAATTTCTGAGAACACGTAGATGACTTTGAAAAAAAATTTAGTCAATTTGAAGCAAGTTGAAAACAGACCTTTTTGACCTTTTTTGACCTTGAGAAGGTCATTGAAGGTCAAATGTAAAAATCTAAAGTCAGATTTGAAGGTCAAATGTCAAATCTAAAGTCAAATCTAAAGCCAGATCTGAGAACATGTAGATGATTTTGAAAAAAAATTTAGTCAATGTGAAGCAAGTTGAAAAAAGACCTTTTTGACCTTGAGAAGGTCATTGAAGGTCAAATGTCAAATCTAAAGTCAGATTTGAACTTCTGAGAACATGTAGATGATTTAGAAAAAAATTGAAGTCAGTCTAAACAGTATTTGTTAAGTTATAGGAAGTTGTAAGAAATTGTTACAGACGCCTGACGCCAACCTCCAACCACCAACCACCAACCGCCAACCACCAACCGCCAACCACCAACCGCCGTCGCAAAAAAACGGAGACCATAACAATATGTCACCACTTTTGGTGGTGACATAATAATATATTAATGTGTAAAATTATCGTTCTCTGGGAATTTGTTCTCTCCTTCATTGTATTAAGTACATCGATTGAGTATAAGGTTAAAACAGTTTGAATTGGAAAAGCCAATTGAAGGGGGAGGTAATTCTCGGGGGGTCTTAATATTACACTTTCACGAACAAGTTATCTTAAACTATGTGGCTTATAATCTCCCTGATAAAACCTCAATCACATTTGCTCTACGGCAGCCATAACTTTACAAAATCGATATAGAAAATTTTGATCGTACTGCTTATCCCTATATTTTATAGCTGCATATTTCTCTCGATTTTGGGAAGCTACTGTCTTTGTTGTCGTAGATCCAATGTTACTGAGCAGGCCCATAGCCAGGATTTGCCAAGGGGGGGTTCAGTTTTCAAAAATTTCCAGGGGGGGTTCACATTTGACAATTTTGGCCCAAATATGGCTAAAATCACTTGAGAAGTGCCACATGCATGATTTTGAAAGAATTTTTGGCCAGGGGGAGAACCCTCGAACCCCCCCTGGCTACGGGCCTGCTGAGGCATTTAATAGTATTACCAAATACCTCTCTGTGTTTTTGCTCAAGTGTAGTTTTCTGTATCATGTTCTCATTGTCTTTTACTTCAAGACGACCCTGCAGTCGCTGTACATCTCTTTCCCATTCCATACGTCGTTCATGCACCTACAAATATATTTGCGTGTCTAGAAATATCATCTTTGAAGGTTGAGAAATATATGACCTTTGTGTGGCTAAAATCATAGAAATATATGATCTTTGAAGGTCGAGAAATATATGACCTTTGTGTGCCTAAAATCATAGAAATATATGATCTTTGAAGGTCGAGAAATATATGACCTTTGTGTGGCTCAAATCATAGAAATATATGATCTTTGAAGGTTGAGAAATATATGACCTTTGTGTGGCTAAAATCATAGAAATATATGATCTTTGAAGGTTGAGAAATATATGACCTTTGTGTGGCTAAAATCATAGAAATATATGATCTTTGAAGGTCGAGAAATATATGACCTTTGTGTGCCTAAAATCATAGAAATATATGATCTTTGAAGGTCGAGAAATATATGACCTTTGTGTGCCTAAAATTATATGATCTGTGTTTGTCTAGAAATATATGATCTTTGTGTGTAGATCTTAGTATGTCTTGAAATATATGACAGTGGTCTCCCCAGCATTAAAGCAAGTGGGTGCAGCACCCACCTGAGATTTTAAAAACAGGCTTGCACCCACCTGAATATCCATTTGCACCCACTTGAAAATGAGAAAGATCATGAAAAATTTTGGTCTGAATTGTGAAAATGATAATTTTGCACCAACTTGAAAAAACATCCTGTGGAGATCACTGTATGATCTTTCTTGTATACAAATGAAGTAAAAAATCCCTGGCAATTTCATGTATGGCAATTTTTGCCAAGAATGGCCTATTCGCAACATCAAAATGGAGTGACAGCATATTTTTTTCTTATACATTCTTGTACTTATATTCGTTAATCATTCCTCAATATTTCTAAAACTTTAAGAAGTTGGGAGAGGGGCCTTATTAGATGCCAAACTCCAAATGCTGACCAATAAACACCGTCCACAAAAAAGTATGTCACAACTTTTGGTGGTGGTGACATAACAACGACACCTACCATAATAAACCAGTAAACCTACCATAATAAACCAGTAAACCTACCATAATAGACCAGTAAACCTACCATAATAAACCAGTACACCTACCATAATAAATAGACAAGTAAACCTACCATTATAAACCAGTAAACCTACCATCATAAACCAGTAAACCTACAATAATAGACCAGTAAACCTACCATAATAAACCAGTAAACATACCAAAATAAACAAGTAAACCTACCATAATATCTATTTGCTTCATCAATTCCTGAAGTTCTGTCTCACAACTTACAACCAGATTGGGAGAAGCGGGGAGCCTGGAAAGTAAATAGGAGACGGTAAAACAGATGTATAAGATTGATCAGGGGTTCGTTTTTTCCAAAAAAACTTTCTCTATTTTTTGACAAAATGACTTGTGACAAGATTGTAAGTTACAATGGTTGCAATAACGGATAGTAGGAATAGAGGATATTCTATAATTTTTGAGGGATATCATTTTTATCCATTAGTGATTATCGCCCATCTCCATGAGTGAATAATATGAGGTTATATAATGGTTGATTCCGTATATCGTGTTTCTTGTCATAAGGAAAATTAAAATTAGGAAAATGGTAAAATTTGGCAAATTAACCAATCAGATTAAATACCACTTGGCCTCTCATATGGCCTCTCGTGAGTATATGATATATTCACGAGTGACTGAAGGGAATGGCAAAATTGCCACTTATACAGTATATGATTTCTCTCTCATTGTTTCCTTGTTCCAGAGCAAGTTATGTTAAATAAGTTCAAGAAATATTTTAGATACTGTTCCCTAGCTTTAGGTAATAAATGTATTGAAATTACCAAGATTGATTAGGTTCACTTTAATTTTGATATATCTGTTTATTGTATTTATATCTAAGCAGGGAAACAAAAGAGACAAAGGACGGATAGACAGAGGGTTTCTCTATATCCCTATCAGACTTTGTTAAGGTAATAGTGCAAGGCAAAAGGCAAGGTTCATATGGTTTGAAAACTGTTTTTATTTTGATACCTCTGTTAATTATATTTATTTATCAAAATTTGTTCAAAATCATCGATTCGATTGAAAATGTATTTTAGCATAAAAGATCAGGCCCATAGCTAGGGGGGTTCGATGGGTTTGACCAAACCCGCCCTGGCCAAAAATTCTTTCAAAATTATGCAGTTTTTCACCATTCTGAGCACTTTTTAAGTGATTTTGGCCATTTTTGGACCAAAATTGCCCAAGTGAACCCCCCTGGAATTTTCCAAAAAGTGAACACCCCTTGGCAAATCCTGGCTACGGGCCTGAAGATGTTACATGTTATCATATTAGTCAATTTTATTTCAATAATTAAATGGGTTTCACATGAAAGCATTTGTTATCAAAACTATGACTATTCAGTTTAGCGGGAAAAATGATTCTAGGAGGTTTCATTTCAACTCACTGTTCACTAAATTAAAATATCAAGTGTATTTTGTGTATAATTTCTATATGTAACTTAACAATAGACTAGATGCAAATAGAAACAATCTTGATTTACGTCATTAAATATTCAAAATTCAGTCAAAGTGATGTCATATTTGAAATCTACATGTAAAAGTACATGTAGAAAAAAGGTTTCGAAAATTGTTTATAACTTTGCAAATTTAATTTTTTTTGATTGATTCCTTATACATGTAGACCCCATGTTACAAAGTCAGAAAAAGTGAAATATCTTTTCTTGTATTGGACAGATAACATTTTCTTTTACTGGACATATTTTAATTTGCATTACTATTAGATACATAAGGGTTATATAAAAAGTGAACTTTCTACTATACCCACCATGTTATCTGACCCGGACGAGCCACCTGGTGGCGAAACTGGTAACTACCTACTCGTATCTGCGTTATTATAACTCAGTCTTTTGATTAGAGGTAAGTAAATACATGTATACAAGTCAACTTTGGAAAAGTTTACCTTTTGGCTCTTTTAAGGTCCTGCCACATTCCAGTTAGCCTTTCTGAGCTAGCCATTATTGGAGTTAAAGTGTGAATTCTTCAATGCAACAGTACATCAGTCATAAATGCTACATCATTCCTTTTTTGTTTTCTGCAGGTGTTTTGAAAGAAAGAACAATATAGAGATCATTAATAAAGAATATCTATACTCTTTGATTCAAACGCAACTCTAAAAACTGGATTCCACCTTTCTTTATTGGCTCCTTCCAAGTTGTTATTTCTGCAGAGCAGGGAAAGAATTTGCCTAACAGGAGTTATTTGACATAAAATCAGATTCCGAAACATTAAAATTGATGCTGCGATGGGGCCAAAAATGCTATATAGCCTGGGCCCCTCACAATCTATGCAAATAATTGTGTTGAATAATATGGAAATAAATAACAATAACCTAAAAAAATCAAATAAAACCAAAAAAACAAACAAACCAAAATATACAAAAGATAGACTAGGCCTTGTTAACCTTCTTCTAAGGCCACTATATCGTGGCCTTCATTCAAAGATAAATCCCTGCATGTTTTCTACTGCTGTATACGGTTCATGTCGTAATCATAAAATTTGAAATCAAATGTTCGCCATTTTTCCACATCACAATTTGAATTGCGAGTTTTGGTCTTATTACCTCACTAAAAATTCCAAAACACACATAAAGTGATCAATGTATTAGTTCACATCTTCTGGATCGCTAAGTTAGAATTTACAGGCAGTTACTAATGTCAGACAATAACGACATTTCGTCCAGTTCTTGAATATCGGGAATGTACTAAAAACCCTTCGACCCTTCGACCCTACGACCTACGACTTACAGGGTGTCAAGAATTTTTGAAATATATTTTTATAAAAACCCTTCGACCTTCTATTTTCTATCTTTCTTTCTGTCCGATCAACAATAAGTACAGTTATACAAGAAATGTAAACGAAGTGAAAATATTCCCAAAAATTTTCCGAAAGGCATGTCATTTCCGGAAGTTATGATACGTTATATTACCGAACATGCGTGAAAATGGAACGTTTGTTCGTTCATTTTACGAGAGCTAAATAAAATGCGAACATCCAAGCATCAGGTATGACTCCACCATTGTTTGGCGTTTTACTACTTGCCACAATCAACCTCACTGCCAGGATATCAAACAAGGCCCATTTTCCATCAAACTTGGCCCAACTACTATCAGGCGGATGTCCTTGAAAAATCAAGTTGACATGGTTACCAAAACCTAATAGTTGCCATGGCAACCACAGAAATTGGCTAAAAAAAGAGAGCAAAAAGCACCCAAACCCACCATAATGGCACTAATTTTTAAAATATTTCTAGATATACAAATTTTCTTAAACTTTGATATCATCTAGAACACTTGTCAAAAAATTTGGGGGTAGGTTTACCACTTCGATTTTTTTCTAGGCTTGGTCAAAGTAAAACTACGAAAAAGCATTAATTTTACTTTTGAATCACCTATTATCGCCCAAATGGCTATTATATTTTTTCAAGGTCAATGTCGCCATGCTAAAAGTTGAATTACGGAGATAAATCTGCTCTTAAGACAATGTTTGATAGCTTTTCTTCACCACAAAACAAAGATCTTTGCGCTGGTATGCCAATTTCCATGAGATAATGTACGGGAAGGAGGACCTGTGTCTTTAAATGTCATCAAAACTTTATGCCAACACGTGAAAAGGCCATTTTCGCACTACTTTTGGTGTAATAATGCCATCGAACAAACATTCCAATTCACCCATGTTCAGTAATATAAGGTGTTATTACGGTAAATACCACTTCCGGGTGTTTTTTTAAACTTTAAAAACGAAGCTATGCCAACTTCAATGGTGTGTATAGTAGGTTTAAGTGTATATACTGTGGGCATTTGAGGTATGTATGTAAAGCAGGGGCCAAGTTCTTTTTAAATGTGCCATTTTTAGAAAAAAATCTCAAGAATATGGTCCCGTAAACAGGAACTACTTTATTCGTTAATTTTCATCGGTGAAGCAGAGATTTTACCTAAAAATAAGTCCCTATGTTGGCGTAGTGATATTTAAAAATCGAGACCCAAATCCTATGTTAAATATAGTGTCGAGATGAAGGTTATGTATAGGGAATTGCAGAAATATAGTCATTGTATGGGCTAATTTGTTCGAAAATGGCGATATGTACCCCAGAAGGTGTGAGTACCGTAATCCAACACCAAATTCGAAAATTCAGAACAATACTTTACACATATGGTGTTCGTGATCAACTATAAAACGCTTACCCCCCCCCCCCATAGTGTTAGATATCAAAATGTACCTGTTCATATAGGGGTTCGATTGATCTACATCAAATTATAGGGAGTCCGGTTACTTTTTGAGATATCAGCGTCCATTTATTGTAACTCACGTTTGCTACCATTTCCTCAATTCTGAGATGACAGGCAATGCGTAGTAAACATGCTCACGCCGGAACTATATTTTGACCTACATCGCTATTTTCGTAATTTAAATGAAAGTTGAACTCCTCCTCTATATTTTGATACAAAATAGTGGCATACTAGGTACCCTAGAAGTCAACTATGGCGTTATTTAGTACAAAACCACAAGTTTTTAAATGGACTATATACCTTTTGGCGGATGGATATGGAACCTCATACCAGAACTTGAATTTTGTGATTTTTTTCAATATTTTTCAATGATTTACCGTAGTGACACCCTAACGTATCATAACTTCCGGAATGACATGCCTTTCGGAAAATTTTTGGGAATATTTTCACTTCATTTACATTTCTTGTATAACTGTACTTATTGTTGATCAGACGGAAAGATAAGCTGATGTAGTTACACTAAAGTTCGTTTACTACCATTTGGAAGGCGTGTGAGGGTCCCATTCATCAGGTAACACTCATATGTCGAAGTTATGTTCTTGCTATTTTTAACAGTTAACAAGCTGTAGGTAGATTAAATCCTACAGGGAGCTCAAGTTGGAACTAGATCTAAACGTAATCATTTAGTAAACTGGACTGGGAAATCAGAGGTCGAGGTCGAAGGGTTTTTCAATATTAAAATATATTCCAAAAATTCTTGACACCCAGTAAGTCGTAGGGTCGAAGGGTCGTAGGTCGAAGGGTTTTTAGTACATTCCTGAATATCGCCATTTTTCTTTGAGCCATTTATTTTAATTTCAGACAAAATCCTGACAAAATCATGCAATATCTCATCAAGGAGCCCAGCTAGTTCCATTTTAATTCATGATTTATTTATCTGACGATTTTTAAAATATTTAATAAATTTATAACACGACGGCCAGCTTTTTTCAAATGGTTCACGGTGTTCCAGATGAAATTACTTCTAGCCAAGAATTGGCTAGGCCTAGAGACTCGAGTAAGGCCTTGCACAGTGAGGAACATAAAGAATTACTATAGCTATGAAAATTACATGCTTTTGCACATGTAATAAATTCTCACCTCAGTGTATTCAACTATTTTCTTCATCCTAGTACGTCCAGATATTGTGGAATTCGTGTCCATAATGACGAATAAGAACTTAAAAATTTGAAATGATATTCACATGTTAATTCTGACTCTTCAAATGTTGAGGTGATTTTGGAGCCTGATTACGCCACAATGAGAATTGGCTCCCAGAATGCAACATGACACGTGCCAGCAAACCTGTCACGAGTAAATAAGGTTAAGGTCAGGGTGCATGATGGGAAATTTTCTGCATTCCTCAATTGAGTCACATGTTATTTTTCAAACAAGAATCACTCCTTCCCAACATTGTCTATATCTTCCAGTTTTGTACAAAGAGTGCACTTATGTGCCTAGAAAAGACTTGTGAGAAGAATGTTTTGATAAAGTGTATAAAAAACAAGAAAATTCAGTGAAAAAATTCAGAAAATTTTCGGAAATTTTTTACAAAGACCCCCACGAAGTGCGGTTCTTTGTACCTTATTCCGGACATGGACCAGTGGATCGGTCACGTGACCTAAATACCGCCTTTATTACCTTATATGGTAAATTGTCAAGGGAACTACTAAGTCGTCATATGACGCGATTACGGATCGATTGTGTTTCCAAGTAATGTCGTCATGTGACGTAGAACGCATTGTCCGCCATTGCTCTCAATTTTGTCTGAACGGGTAAGCGTATTTTAACATTTCTGTCATTTTAAAGCCTGGTTTTCAGTATTTATAATCGAATTTCACTTCAACTTGATTGTAGAAATGAATAGAATTGTAACTTCTATTTTACTGAATCATTATTCGAGCCAGAAATGGCGCAAAATCAATTTATGAACTTGAAGAAATTTAGTTACTCATGGTTCAACGAGTTTTTCAGATGGTTCAAATAGCCTAGTCAACACTGATATATTTAATATTCTGTAAATGGTTAGTATGATGCTATGCTGGTCGCAAGGAGAGGTATCAAAAGTTCAATGTCTGATAGGAAGCTAAATTAATCTAGTTTTGAGGTTGACCCCCTCCCCCCCCCCAAAAAAAACGTGATCATCGCGGACTTTTCGCGTGTGGACTTTCGTGGATTTTGGATTTTCATTGGGATATAAGTATAAGCCTACCATAACGTATGTAGGCTACAATGTAGAATTCTTAAAACATGTGATCGACAACAACAGTAGGCACAGCATTTGCAGAAAACATCAAGTAAACTCTTTATTTTTAAACCATTCAAAGGAATTCTGATCCGAGTCAAAATTGCACAAAAATTGAAATGTTAAAATTTGTCTGATAGATCTAGCAAACTGAAATGGCTTTGAACCCCCCCCCTAGATTTATTTAGTTTTATAGGCTTATCCGTCGACATTGAACCTTAGATGCCTCCCGCGAGACTTATGTCACGAGACTGGCTATTACCATCTACATAAGAAGGCCAAAATGCCCTAATACGTCACTTCCGCTGAATAGAAAAAAGTAGTATTCAAAAATAAATGTAGTCCCAACACAATTATGATTATGACGAGTCAGTAAGCTAGTATGTAGGCACAGTTGTGATCTTTTTGCAATGACAACATGCCATTTCTTCTGAAAATGCGTTTATTTGGGTTATCTGAAGGAAAATTTCGAGTCAAGTGGCGTATTAATTTTGCCTTCATTTTTGTGAATTTCAATTTGTGTCTGCAGAGAG